CTGGCGGGGGGGAGGGGGCCCAGGATGACCAATGGGCTCAGTCCTGGGTCTGGATCAAGGGACTGACCAGCAGGGGTGCTGGAGATGGGCCCAGGCAGAGCTGGCCTGGCCTCCCCTCTGGGCAGGCCCAGTGGAGGAAGCCCAGCTCCCTCTCCCTGTCGGGGGCGTCTGTGCCTGCCCCTGGCGAGTGGTTTGGTGTCGAAAGGCAAAATGTGAAGAGGGGTGGAGGTGGAATGATGGTTTTAGTATTAGCCTCCTAAGAGGAACTTAGAATTGTGTCTCTTTCCGTTGAGGGGGTAGGTAGCGGGTAGAGGGAAGCAGAGCCAAGTGTAATGATGATGGAGTGGGTGTGACCTCAAAGTACCTTCACAAGATATATTTCTTAGAAGGTGGCTTGTTGCCACCTTAAAGGTGAGCACAGTCAGCAACTAGCAGGTAGGTTCACTTGGGAGTCTGCCCTCCCTCCTGGTTTTGGAGCAGGATAGCGAGGGGAAGGGGAGGCTGGAGTTGGCTCCATTCTGTCCTGCTGCTTGTCATTTCTTCTTAGTCTCCCCCCTTCCCCCGAGCATTGACCTAGCACTTTCTGAAGCCCAGGCACTGTGCCCGCCTCTGGGGGTGCGGCAAGGAGAACGTCCTCTAGGCAGGACTGTCTCCTTAGCATCATGAGGGGACAGAGTGGGCACACTCTGAATATTTGCCCATCGAGTGGAAAAAGCTTGATCTGTAGCCTTGGGGAGCTCACAGACAGGAAAATGGCCTGAAGATACACAGGGTGCAGGTGAAAGCACAGAGGAGGGGCATGCGGCTCAGTGGGAGGGGATGAGGGACAGGGAGCCACCGGCTGAGTGGAGAGAAGGGTCAGAAGGGAGGCGGCAGAGGAGACAGGCAGGGAGCACAGCTGAGCGGGGACCAGGGCTCAGGGGGAAGCGAGGTGGGGTGCGGGGGCTCGAGGGGCAAGTCGTGGGAGGTGAGGGCAGACAGTTCCTGGAGGAGCTCTGTGCTGTGGAAGGAATGTTTTTCTTTATAACCTTAAAGCACTTGGGAACCGTTAAACTTCTCAAGCAGGGAGATGTGTATAGATCCCCCTGGAGGCCGGTGTGAGGCGGGGGAGCAGGCAGGAGACGGGGGAGAGACGGTGAGGTCTGAGTGGGGGCCGTGCAGGGAGGGACAGAGGGAGGGGTGTGTGGGGTGAACTCAACCCCACGCAGCTGTCCTCTTGGAGCCATGCTTTGGAGGACACCATCCATGCCCGTCCTCTGGGCGCCTGGAGGTGAGGTTTGGACGGCTGTGTCCAGGGTGCGTGATGAATCTGCTGAACTCCCCCCTTTCCTCTGCAGTGACGAAGCTGCAGGTGAGCAAATCCAAGAGGACCCTCACCCTGGTGGAGAACAGGCCCATCCAGCTGAACTGCTCGGTCAAGTCTCAGACCAGCCAGAACTCCCACTTCGCTGTGCTCTGGTACGTCCACAAGCCCTCGGACGCCGACGGCAAGCTCATTCTCAAAACCACGCATAACTCCGCCTTCGAGTACGGCACCTACGCCGAGGAGGAGGGCCTGAGAGCCAGGCTCCAGTTTGAGAGGCATGTGTCCGGGGGCCTGTTCAGCCTCACTGTCCAGAGAGCCGAGGTCAGCGACAGTGGCAGCTACTACTGCCATGTGGAGGAGTGGCTGCTGAGCCCCAACTACGCTTGGTACAAGCTGGCAGAGGAGGTTTCTGGGCGCACAGAAGTCACTGTGAAGCAGCCAGGTAAGCGGAAGGGTGCACCGGCCCAGGCCAGTGGGTTTAGTGAGAAGAGGCTGCCTGCACAGGGCCCTGGGGTCCCCGCCGGCTGTGGGTGCCGCTTGCAGACCATCGCCCCGGTGCGTTGCAGGCCCACCCACTTTGCCTGCAAGGGGTCCTGGTGCTGATGGCAAACGTAGTGTCCTTGACTCTGCTGTTGTGGATGGCATCCTCACCAGGGAGAGGCCTGGTGGGCAGCTGTGGTTGGCAGGATTCTGGTGGCTCACAGCTCTCTTTCTGGGTTTGCAGTTCGCACCCTGGATCTTGAGTGGGGCCAGCTCTAAACTCAGGATTCCTGCCTAGAAGTCATTTTCTAGTTTCCATGAACGCTTCCTGTCTCCAAACCAAATCACCACGCGGCCCCTTTCAGACCTCGTGGGTGCACCCTGACAGATGGCGTCTGACCTTGGCCGGGCGCCTTCAGGAGAGAGCGAGCTCTCCACCCTCCCAGGCCTTTTGGGTACCCCTCATTGTTGAAAGTCCCCCTCCCCGTCAATTCCCTCTCAGGTTTCAGATCTGCCCCTAGAACATCCCAAGAGAGATTTGGGTCATATCCTTTCCAATGCAGTCACACACTGCCTAATGATGTTTTGGCTGACGACAGACCGCATATGTGACCGTGGTCCTATAAAATTATAATGGAGCCTGATTTCCTGTAAGAAATGGAAGGATATATGGTTCAGGAGGACTTTATCTCAGACGGGAGCAGTGTCTGTTGGGGTGGGCAATAGATTCCCTCCACTTACAGCGCCTTGATTCTGAGTGCACACTTTACCTCCCAGTCAGTCAGCTGCCGACCTGTTTCAGACAGAGGAGCCTGGCACCCCAGAGCTGCTCATTTCTCATTCCTCCTGGTCCTCGGGCCACCTTTCACTCCCTCCTGACAGTCACTGTAGGGTGACCCACGCCTTACCCAGCCACTTTCTCCTCGATATTTCCAGCCAGTCCGGCCCACGTCCCTGTTCACGGAGCAGCACTGACAGCTCTGAGGGTCTCTCTCTGACCCTGTTGGAAGGAAGCAGGGGGAGGGCTCGTGGCACCGTGTTTAGTCTCTAATCTCGCACAGTAATGTCCTCGGCCTTCCCACTCGCCACTCGCTCCCTGACTCACCCAGAGCAGCTTCCGGTCCTGCAGGCTCCATCCACGGTACGCACCCCATACAGGTGCACCCCTGTTTATCTTTTATTTTCTGTGGTTAGGTACACAGATACTTACCATTGCCTTACAGCTGCCTACAGTACTGAGTACAGCAACGTGCTGTAAAGGCCTGTCGCCGAGGCTAGACCGTGAGCCTGGGTGTGTAAGTACACTCTGTGATGATGAAATTGCCTGAGGACACTTGCTCAGAGTATCCCTGTTGTTAACTGACACGACTATATACGAAGGGAGCTCTTGGTGCCCTGTCAGTCTCCCCTTCTTGTTAAAGAAGCTCTAGAACTTCTCCCCTAATGTGGCCCTGAGCCCCCCCCCATCCCTCATTCCTGCATGCTCGCAATCGGCTGTCACTGTGTGTCCTCCCTGAAGGGCGCCGGGGTGCTGTGCTGGCGGCCCGAGTCCCATCTCCGCGCCCTTTCTCATGCTGCCATCTCCACCTGGAATGCCCCTTTCCTGCTTCTCTTCCTGTCCTCACCCCTTTCCCAAGACTTCCCTCGGCACCACCTCCAGGAAGCCTTCCCTGATACCTCCCATAGCACCAGGGGTTTCTTGTACAGCACGTAGCATAATAATTGTGTGTTTGTATTTCCTTCCTGCTATACTGTAAGCACTTTGAGGACGGGGCTGTGTCTTTGTATCTTCAGCCACTGGAGTGGCCCCCTCGGTAAAGATTGTTCGAATAAGGAATGAATGGTTGCTTTCCTTGAACACCCAGGGCCTTTGGCTGTTCTTGTAGCCTGGACCCTGTGGACCACAGATAGTCATTTATGTCATTCTTCCTCGGAGAGGCGTTCCGAGCTCCTTTTAACTGAAATAGCACTCCAGGCGCTCTGTCCCCCTTTCCCATCTCCTTCCCAGCACATGACACCACGTGGCATTCTGTTCATTTACGTGTTGATACAGGTAATTATGAGCCTCTTCATACCTATGGAAATTCACTTATTGTCAGTTATTCGTTATTTACATATCTGTGCCTGTCTCCTCCACCAGACGTGAAGCCCCTGAGTGAGCACAGGTCCCTGTTTTCCTAATCACTCTGTACCCACGGCTTGTCTCCCCGGAGGCCCCAGTCACTGCGTTCAGTAAGCAGATGGAGTTCAGATGTGGCCTGGCCCCTGCTGAACGCGGTGGGCCTGTCCCCTCCTTTCCCTCAGGCTGTTGCATTTCTAGAACTGCCCCTGTCCTCATGGGCCTCTCAGGGACATTCTGTGCTAACCCATCTGCTGGTGCATTAAAAAGGCAGCTCGGGTCTCCGTGCTTCCTGTTGGTATTTCCATGTTGGTATTTCCAGTGACCTGTGTCCTGCCGTCAGTCCAGTCCCAGGGGCTTTTGAAGATTGAAGGTTGCCGTTAGGCCCACAGATGTTCTTTCAGGTTTCTGTTCTTCCTGCCTCTTTTCAGTTCTGGGCTCGCCCTCCTTAGGGCACAAGGTCACGCCCCTTCAGGGGTTCCTTTTAGTCACCACCCATCCTTTCCCTTTTCTCATCTGTGCCGAAACTAAGAGATTCTCTGTAGATCCTAAATTTATCGAGGGCATTTCTCCGTCTGAGCCTGCAGACTCAGAGCAGGTGACCTGGGGCAGTGCAGAGGGGCTATAAGGATTCTCGTCAAAACGCGTGAAATCTTGGTGTGGGGAATATTAACACTGTGAAGAGAAAACCTACAGGACTCTGATGAACAGCACATTCCCCCTTTTCCGTTGAGATTTTTGGTTTGTATATTTTTCATTTTTTGTGTTTTTTTTCCCCTCCTGCTTCCAATTCTTCTCTTCCCTCCCCTCCCCTTATTTTTTTCCTGTTGAGAAAGAGTACACTTTAGAACTTTAGGAAAATACAAAAGCACAAAGAATAAAATAATCTTTCAACCCAGAGACAACCAGAGAGAGAGAGAGAGAGAGAGAGAGTGTGTGTGTGTGTGTGTGTGTGTGTGTGTTTTGGGGAAACTGCTTATTTAACATTTTTTTCTGTTGTCTTTAATTTTTGGACCTTTTAATTACAAAAGTAATCACATGCGTTATAAAATATCCTGACAGTTCTGAAGTTAACTTGCATGGCCCTCTCCTTCCTCTTTGTCACTTGGGTGGGGCCTTCCTGGCGGCCTCTGGACCTTCATAGTTTCATAACTTTCTGATGCCTCCAGTCCAGACATGCTCATTAGGGCCTCTGATGAGATCACGTGCATGCCATTAGGGTGTGTCATCATTAGTGACACTTTTGATGGGCCTAGTTTTCAAACCACAGGTTCCCTCAATATCAATCTTTTGTTTGTTGCTGTCAGGTCGGTTGTGTTCCCACCTTGAGAGGAAACCATGTGGTTGTTTTCATAGTAAAAGTAAGAACTGCAATTCTTGGAACCAACTTGTGAGCCTGTTAAACTGGGTTTCCACTGCAGCTCTTTAGTGGTTGACAGCCCAGCGTGTTCCCTTCATGGGGTCAGTTTTAAAAATCTCCTGCTTGGAGAGGGGTTCTCACCAGGCCCTTTCCTGTCCTTTCCCAGCCACCTGCGCCATCAGCCCTTCGCCTCGTGGTCCGCTGTCAGTGGGATGTGCAGTCACCTGCACAAGTCGTCTAGGACAAGAGGATGTGCTTGTCCTCTGCTAGGCATCTGAATTGATGAGGGTGATAAATGAGGGGACAGCCATCCCTGTCACATTGAACCCCTTAAAACCCGGACACTCGGGCACAGGATCAAGAACTCAGAATGTGAGGGGGCTGTCTTCCTTCTATGTTCGGAAGGTACCCATCCCCTCTGCTTGGAAAGGGTACGTGGAGGTGGCTGGTTGTGTTCTTGCTGCTGACGTCTGTTTCCTCGCCTTTCCAGACAGCCGCCTGAAGCTCAGCCACGTGCAGGGGAACCTGTCGGTTCTGGAGACGCGGCAGGTGCAGCTGGAGTGCGTGGTCCTGAACCGCACCAGCGCGGCCTCCCAGCTCGTGGTGGAGTGGTTCGTGTGGAAGCCCAACCACCCGGAGCGGGAGGCCGTGGCCCGCCTGAGCCGCGAGGCCACCTTCCATTACGGAGACCAGGCGGCCAGAAACAACCTGAAGGGACGGCTGCATTTGGAGAGTCCTTCGTCCGGCGTGTACCGGCTCTTCATCCAGAATGTGGCGGTGCAGGACAGCGGGACCTACAGCTGCCACGTGGAGGAGTGGCTGCCCAGCCCCAGCGGCGTGTGGTACAAACGGGCGGAGGACACTGCTGGGCAGACAGCCGTTACAGTCATGCGACCAGGTGAGGGTTAACGTCCCCAGGCCTCCGCACCCTTGACTGCTTCCCCTGCGAGTACAGTATTTTATGTGATGCATAAAATTAGTTTGTTAATTAATAAATTGTCTGTAGTTAAATATATGCACGTTTAGTTTGCATTTACATTCAGTGGTGGCTCAATTTTTTTCCCCTAGTGAATGGAAAATTGCATATCTGGCTTTGGCTTCAGATGATTCTGTTTCTTAACTAGAATATCACTTGTCAGTTACTCCAGAGCATAGAATAGCTTCCTTTTAAAGAATACATTCGGATTCGGACAAGTGGCTGATATGCAGAAACCTCAGAACAGTAGCTATGTGGTTCAAAAAGTAAGCTCATGGATTTTCAGTGGGAAAAAACTGATTTACAGGCTTTAAGTAGAAAAAGATGAAGAATATGCAGCCTCCACTCTCTCCCTTCTAGCAGTTTTATTGGTGCTAATGATTAGACCATGTGGCCTTGTGCTTTCTTGTCTTTATTGTTTGTTTCTGATGTACTGGAATACACATGATTGCCAGGTACAATTATTGTGACACATTTAAACACATAATTAAAACAAAGTTGTGCCGGGTCCCTGTGTCCTGTGCCCATCATATGATCATTCATCCATCTCTGAGCAGAGAGTCAGTGGTCCCTCTGCGGACATGGAGCAGAAACGGATTTGCGACCTGTGTCAGTGTGAACGCCTTGTCCTGTTTGCTTTCTGAGCATCCCGAGGTCCCTCTGTGTTGTCGTCGGAAGCTTCCGAAATGTTTTTGTGTCTGAGTAGAGCAGCTTTTTCTTTAGAACACCAGAGCTTCACAGTCGTGCCGGCCTCACACGTCACAGAACACACTTTGGAGACTGAATATGGAGAAAGGGCATTATCTTACCCCTGTGTCTCTGCTAGGGGTGGGGGAAATCACCTACCTCTGTTCCGAGTTACTCATATTTCCCATGGGCTTTTTCTTCTTTCTGCCTCGCCTAGAAACTGCTGCTCGTCTTTCCCCAAAGGTAAAATTGTGGAGGTGTGGCAGCTGAGCACCCCCTTCCCCGTCCCCAGCGCCCACCCATTTTGCAGATCACCATGCCGAGGCCCCAGGTGGAGTGGAGGAGACATACATTTATGCAGTGCCAGGTGCGTCCCCACCACGGTTAGGCGGTTTACGTCCAGTCCTCAAAACAACCCTGACCGGTACGTTTTACTTTTGAGGGAACTGATGCCTGAAGAGAAACGCCCACAGCTAGTTAGAGCAGACTGGGGTGGCCACCCCCGTTTCCTTCCCCCCACACTGTGCACTCCCGACTGACCCTTCAACCTGCACCCCTGCGTCTCATGTTCAGCCAAACAAGCAGCTGGGTCCCCCAACCCACCCCCCTCCCTTTCTGAGCACAGTCCTGTGCCGCTTCCCAACAGAGATTCGTCCTGAGCGATGCATCGTTGGGCAGTTTCATCGCTGTGCGAGTATCAGAGGGCGCTTACTCAAACCCAGACGGTACAGCCTCCTACGCACCAGGTGACGTGCCCTGGCCTCTTGCTCCTGGGCTACACGCCTGTGTGGCGTGTTCTGTACAAAACAACACAAGACTAAATCAAGCACAAGAGAAAGGGTTGCAGCCAGGAGGCGCAGGAAACTAGACGTAGGAGGTGTAACATGGCGTACTTGTTTTTATTCTAAGTAGAAGGAGTACAGTCCAGCTGCATCGCCACGCACAGGTGACTAATGTGTTTCGGTGCAGCCGTATGGTGTCTGCGAAGTCACCGGGCGATTGGAAGCTTTCAGCTCCCTTATAGCCCTGTGGGACCACCGCTGCGTATGGGTCCATCGCTGAGCGAAGCTCGGTTATGTGGCGATGACTGTGTGTCAGCTGCTCGTGCTGGTTACAAAACATTTTGAAAACAGAAAAGTATAGTTTTGAAAAGGAAAGTTATCTGTAATCTCACTCGCATTTCGTAACCGCCATTTTCACTGGTTGCTTAACTTTCATTGTGTGGCTGTACTTCAAAGATTTTTCCCCCCTGAGGTATCAGTTGGACAAATAGGAGACTTGAAATAATGAAACTCCAAGAGTTAAGAGTCGCCTAGCGTTGCGTAAGGCCGACCATGGTATGAAACAGAAGAAGTGAAGGCTCCTGCCCTCAGTGAGGTTGAAGCTGGGTAGATTCGCAGTTGTGTTCGGCTCCCATAACTGGGGAAGAGAGAAAACCACCTTCGTCAGAGAGCCGGGGGGTCCGTGGTCAAGGTCACTGCCTTGGCCTATTCCAGGAGTCACACATGGGGCACAGAATGGGGTAGAGGCCTGTTGAGGGGAGGGGCGTTGAGTGAAGTTGGAAATTCATTCAAAAACATTGTATTGTATCTGTCACTAATGCAGACGAGGCACTTGAAGGGGCCAGAAACATTTCTGAGCAGTTAGACGGGAAGAAATGAAGAGGGAGCAGAAGGGACAGCACTCTGGGGCCCGACCTCCCGCTGCAGGGCCTGTTCTGCACGACCTTCCCCAGGGCCACCTCCTCTGACACAGTGGCCAGTCGCTAGGGGCGTTAGGGCCCTGCGTTCAGTTCTGGAGGGAAAGCACCCTAGACTGCCTCTTGCTCTGCAGTATTTCTCTCTGTGGCTTTGGGGTCCTGCATTAGTCACGCTCTCTGGAAGAATGAGCCAGTGCAGCCGGGAGTTTGAGTCACTTGTGGACTGATTTCATACTCTCCGTTCTGCTGCTTTCTGCCCCCCGGCACTTCCCCGTCTTCCCCGGGAAGAGCTGGGATGACGTGTCGTGCCCGGTAGTGGCTCCTAGGCCCCTGAATGGCAGCTGTGCACACCGATACTCCAGGTGGGCCGAGGGGGTTCCAGGGGCTTGGCGGAGCCCCACAGAAGCGGCGGGAACCCCAGCTTGGTGTTCACCTGTGAGCGGCATTAAGCCAAATTCGCCGGAAGCCCGGGACGGCCCTTGGGAAGTGCTCCGATTTGGTCTCCATCCAAGCAGAGTCCAGTTCAGTACCTCTGTCTTCTCGATGCTGTGTCGGCATCTTTCACAAGCATTTCATAAACAGAGCCTTTCAGGGGCCAGGGAGAGAACCTACCCCGGTGAGCCAGTAAAAACAAAGCAGCAGAATAAAGGAGCAGGTTACGGCCTGCCTGACGGTGTCTGAGCGACGACTCACCTGCCCGGCACCTCTCCAAGGCCGCTTTGTGCCACCCACTCAGGCGGGAAGACTGCCTGTGTCACCTTCCGGGGGCCGGGAGGGTCCACGCTCTGTGAGTCCCCTTTCAGGTCTGGTGTCCGCGTTTGGCTTCCATCCTTGGAGAATATTTACCTCCGTGGGTTCACTGTGGCGTAGGTGACAATCTGCATGCGCACAGTGTCAGTGCAAAAGCTGCTGAAAGTGAATTCATGTCCTGGGGCTGCTGGAACAAATGAGCTCAAACCTGGTAGCTTCAGACCAGAGAAATTTGTTCCCTCGCAGCTCTGGAGGCTGGTGTCCTCAGGGCCGTGCTCCCCTGATGTTTCCAGGGAGGAGGCCATCCTTGCCTCTCCCAGCTCCTCGTGGCCCCAGGTGCTCCCTGGCTCTTAGCTGCGTCACTCCACCCTCTGCTCTGTCTTCACCTGTCCTCTCTGTGTGTCCCCCTGTGTCATCTCCTCCTCTTATAAGGACACCAGTCACTGGACTTGGGGCTCGTCTTAACTAAATTACAACTGCACAGACCCTATTTCCAATTTAGGAGATAGGTGGTTCCAGGTAGACATGAATTTTGGGGGGGGCCACTGTTCAACCACTAAAAGGGTTTACAGTGAAAATAAGTGTCCCTCTCTCCCCAGAGTCCCACGGCGGCCGTAGTGCCAGCTCCGTGTGAATTCTCCCACACATACCCATGCAAACGTAAACAGATGTGCGTGTCAGAATAAAACGGTTTCTTCGGCATACAGCGTTGTGTGCTCTAGTACTTTCTCTTGAATCTCCTTTCACGTCTGCACGTAGTAAGAACTCCTTCATTCCTTTCAGCAGGTGCGCAGTGTTCTGTTGTAGGGACATTACTATCATGTATTTAGCGGTGGACATCAAGGTTGTCTTGAGCAAAGAAATTAAAACAGCCTCCTCTGTCCCGCGCCCCCGCAGATGCCGCCCTGCAGGTGGACACGGTGGTCCCCAACGCCACGGTGTCTGAGAAGGCAGCGTTCCAGCTGGACTGCAGCATCGTGTCCCGCTCCAGCCAGGACTCCCGCTTTGCTGTGACCTGGTACTCCCTGAGGACTAAAGCTGCGGGGAAAGGGGAGAGCCCCAGCCTGGAAGAACAGGAGGCCGAGGAGCAGGAGGAGGACCCCGCAGAGCGGACGGCCCTGCTGAGCGTGGGCCCCGACGCCGTGTTTGGCCCAGAGGGCGGCCCCTGGGAGGGCAGGCTGCGCTTCCAGAGGCTGTCCCCGCTGCTCTACAGGCTCACGGTGCTGCAGGCGAGCCCCCGAGACACGGGCAACTACTCCTGCCGCGTGGAGGAGTGGCTGCCCAGCCCCCAGAGGGAGTGGTACCGGCTGACAGAGGAGGAGTCGGCCCCCATCGGCATCCGAGTGCTGGACGCAGGTGAGTTTTCCCAGTTTACAGGGGAAGGGTGTCACAGCTGATTGCAGCGGCCCATAGGCTAAAACTCGCCGCTTGGTTATGGGTTAATGAGCTGCGTTCTCGCCTGTCATGGGCACATAGGGTCTGCCTGCCAGTTCATGTAATTGACCCCTGGTTGCTTATGCCAAAAATAGGGATAGGAGCATCACTTCTAGTAAAACTACTCTCAGGAGCCGGCAGGGAGAGAACGGGGCAGATTCCCAGAGAGGGACATTTGGAAGTAGACCTAAGTGCACAGGGGGTCAAGTAAACACGAACCAGGGCAGGAGGCTCAGGCCGAAGTAGAGTCAGCTTCCACCCCCACCTAGATGCCGTTAAGGTCACCGTTGATAAGCTGCATTTTACGATGTGGCTTTGCAAGCAGTACCACTGACTCGCGGTGGGAAATGGAAACATCGCTTAGTTTGAACTTCCAGCTGTGAACTGGAAGAGATGCTGTTGTGAGCACAGGAACAGAAGGGTTGCCCGGCCGGTGTGGTAGGTGGTTGAGTGTCAACCCATGAACCAAGAGGTCTCTGGTTCGATTCCCGGTCAGGGCACCTGCCCGGGTTGCAGGCTCGATCCCCAGTAGGGGGCGTGCAGGAGGCAGCCAATCGATGATGTTTCTCATCGATGTTTCTGTCTCTCCCCCTCCCTCCCTCTCTAAAAATCAATAAAAACATATTTTAAAAAAAAAAAACCACATAAGGTTTGTCCCCATGATTAGTGGTGGTAGGGGACAGACAGGGTGGGCGCGGACCCTGCCAAATGGCTTCCGTGGGGTTGGGCAAGGTCTTCGGGAGCCAAAGCCCACGGTCCCAGTTCCCGGCCCTCACCGTCCTGCGTCCCTCTCGGCCCTTCCAGGCTCCACCCTGCAGTCCATCATCTGTGCCAACGACGCGCTGTTCTACTTCGTCTTCTTCTACCCCTTCCCCATCTTCGGCATCCTCATCATCAGCATCCTGCTGGTTCGCTTCAAGAGCCGGGGCTCCAGCAAGAACTCGGACGGGAAGAATGGGGTGCCCCTGCTGTGGATCAAAGAACCGCACCTCAACTACTCCCCAACCTGCCTGGAGCCGCCAGTCCTCAGCATCCACCCGGGAGCCATAGACTGAGGGGCCCTGGGACGTCGGCCGCCCGAGCCCGGGCGCTCCCACGCTGCCTCTCGCTCTGTGATGGGACAGCAGACGGCACCCGAACTGCGGAGAGCCCTCCCAGAAAACTGTCTGACTTCAGACCGTCCACAGTCCCCGACCAGTCGCAGAGACAGGCTGCTGCTTCTGGGCGGCAGCCCTGCTGGGCTCGCGACTTCCGAGCAGGTGTCGCCCCTGCGGCATTCGGTCTCTCGTTTTCGTTCCCGGTGATGTAGTGAGTAGCTCCGGGTGCCACGTCTGCTCACTGGTAGTAACAGGTAGATGTTCCAGGGGTTCCCATTCTTGGTAACGGACTCTTTTTAAAATGCCCCTGGTTTACCCTTTTTGGGATTCCGTAATGCTGTGGACGCATTTCTCTCACGTACGACGGATGAGAAAAGGAAAGACGGACTTTATGGCGCAAAGGAATCTCTTCTAAGACCTTTTGCTTTTGCACACTTGAAAATGCCACCCCTGGAGCAAGAGACACCCGAACATTTTTTTACTTTCTTAATGAAACTTGAAAATTATGTGACGTATGGGCCCAATTTGTATCTTATCTCTTCCCCCTGCTGGAGTTGTTGGGACCACTTTGCAGTCAAGATGAAAGCGTTGAGGGTTTTTTTTTTTGCTTCAAAGAACTGTGTAGGTACAAGAGAAACCCTGCATAACCCCATTAGGAGTAGATGGTGCCCGGCCAGCCTGCCTGTCGGGGAGGCAAAATCGGCTTCCTCCCAGCCTTGCCAAAAACATAAGAAACCTTTGTTGGAGAACGTCAAAAGCTCCAGACAGTTCACGCTTTGCAAGGTGGGCAGAGGGCTGCTTCCAGCAGCTGCCGACTTGCAGATTGATCGAAGCCAGCGGTCAGTGAAGGAAGGGAGAGGGCTAGTTGTTGGCTTGGTATGTTCCCTAAGGGCCGTCTCCAGCTGGGAACTGAGCAGGTGGGCTTCTGTGCTAAGGTGCTTTGCCAAACTCGTAAAGGAAAGTGGCCAGTGGGCCTGGGAAGGGGACAACGCTGAGCTGAACACACGGCCCAAGCGGCCACCCTGTACACCGACAGAGGGCACTGGGGCCTTGGAGAGTGGGCCAGCCGTGGTGGGAGGGGTTTTCCAGAGCCTGATGCGGGAGAGCAGGCGGGAGTAACTGCCTCCCTGGCGGTATGAAGACCAGGTTTTTCCTTTCTTTCCATTAGATTTTCCTCAAAGATACGGACGTCTTTCCTCCTCACCATTTACCCCCCTGCTTCTCGCTGTGGTACTGCACCCAGGGGAGGTCCCGCGGTCCTCTGTGACCCTCTCCTTACAGTCTCAGCAGAAAGTGCCACCTGCCTTTGTGGGTGTTTTAAACGTCCGTTTCTCAGATCTTGTTTGCGGTTTAGGTGACATGGTGGTTCGTTGTTATGGTGACTTTTTATTTAAATGCCCCTTAAAGTCCAGCAAAGGCCAGCGTCACCTGCTACTTTACACGATTGGGCCAGACGCTTGGCTCCCGGGAGCAGCATCGGCTGCGTGTGGTCGTCCACTCCACGAAGATGTTTTTATGCCCCGGCTTTCCCATATTTTGCTGGCCAGGAGTGTCATCTCCCTTCCTCTGTGAACTTGTATATCTCCAATCCCAAGGGAGTTCCCAGTTTGGAAAAATCGAGTAGGGATTTGGGCACTGAGTCTAACCAGAGAGATCGCTGCGAAACCCTGTTCTGGAACTGAGCGGACTCCGAGGAGGCTGTGGGACTCCCCAGTCATGTGGGTGCTGATCCGGGTCGGGGTCTGGGGGTGCCAGGTGCTCGTGGGTGCTCAGCAGGTGCTTTACTGAGTCACAGCTGAAGTGGAAGCAAGGTGAGTGCTCAGCTGTTTCCCGACAGGCTCACACGCCTGCCTTCTGTCCCTGGCAGGTCACCAGCGCTCTCCTGTGAGAGTGCAGGCCCCACCACCTGACCCCGCCAGGCCTCACATGCTCATTCCCGTGTGTTACGCTGCACGAATGCTTTAGAGGTGCAGCTCGGCTTAGTGCTGAGGGAAGAAGGCGGGTCTTTTGCCCCATTTTGTCATTTCAGGGGTGTGGGCTCTCAGTGGGAAATCGCTGACCCCTGATTTATAGACTGAGTCAGCGAGGGAAGACTTACTGTTCCCGTCTGGACACGAAGATGCCAGAGGGTGGCCTGAGGCTGGGATGTGCACCTGAGACTCGAGTTTGAATCGCTTCACGGCTGCGGAAAGGCAGCTGCCGCCACATAATTAAATAGGCGAAGTAGTTGAAAGAAGAGGAAAGAAACCGAAGCCAGTATTTTAATAATTGTGTTTTTTCCTGTGTATTTTCTATGGGCGTGGGGAAACCTTCAAAGGGTGAGCTTTTCCAACTTCCTATGAAGATCCCCAGGACCTCCCTCCTTTCGGCCCATTCTGTGGAAATAGAAATAGTGTGAATGAGGGGTAAAGGTGCCCTCCAGTGGCTGGGAGGCCTCATTGCACACCGCCGAGGGAGCTCAGACCGGGAGAGAGACGGCCCACTACTGTCTTGACTTATCTCCATCTGCGACGATGCATTAATGAATCCTACACTGTGCTGGGCCCGTCCCGGACACGGATACGACCACACCCTCTTTCACCGGGGTGTTTCTGTAGCAAGTTTTCATATTCTTTCCAAACAATGGTTTCTCTGCGTTAATTGAAGAGAAAAACAAAACAAAACAGGTTGGGTAAGAAAACGACCAATGCATGATGTAGAGAGCTGTTGCTTTTTTTGTTTGTTTTTTTTTGTTGTTTTTTTAAAAAAAAACTATTTGTAAGATGTTGCACTAAAACATTTTATATACACTTCAGACACCTGTAATAAATTATGTTGAAAATACGACTGTTTACATTTTCTAGAGTCCACTGTCCTTTCTCCTCACTTATTCAGTCACCTCCTGCCCAGCCCGGCGTGGCTCAGCGGTTGAGCATCGACCTAGGATCCAGGAGATCGCGATTCGATTCCCGGTCAGGGCACATTCCCGGGTTGCTGGCTCGATCCCCAGTTGGGGGCAGGAGGCAGCCGATCAATGACTCTCCCATCATTGATGTTTCAACTCTCTCTCTCCCTTCCTCTCTCTGAAATCAATAAAGATATATTAAAAAAAAAAAATCACCTCCATGGAGCTGTGCCCTGGAGGCACAGTGAGCTCTGCCTCCAGCCTAAATGGTGCCTTTGTACAAATGATACAAAAAAAAAAACCCACACACACCTTTCTCAAGACACTCAGCTGCCACATGCTGAAAATGTATCATCATAAATACACAGATCTACCCTGTCAAGGCTGTGCTGTGCAGCACACAATACACCTGGAGGCCTGCTAGGCAGTTCAGAATGTAGAATTTATAACCTTTAGCTTTCTCTTGGGGGGGGAGTGGGCAGGGTGGGGTAAGGAGACTGATGGAGGAGAGCAGGAACATGGGGCAACCTTGGCCACCAAGGGCCTGTGCAGCAAGACCACCCATCTTTCTCAAACTAGTGTTGCCCTGACCGTGAAATACTCAGCAAGAATTTTCCAGGATGGAGGAGAGGCAGAAGCTGTGCATTGCTGCTCAGTGAGAACCCACAGCACACCAGTCTGTTCCCCATGCAACTGCGACACTGGCATGTTGTCTGCAAAGTGAAAGGCAGAGTGATTAAAGCTGTAGCAGCGATACATGACCCGTCAGAACCCACCCACAATTGTTTAAAATCCACCGAAGAATATGCAGAAGGAACTGGATAGAGGGTAAAAAGCAGAGGGAGGCGCTCCTTTTCTTTTTCTTCCTTTTAAAGTCCAAGAAAAAGCTAACAGAGGTTAGCTTGGGTACCCAGAACGGTTCCATGTTAAGTCTTTTTGGCTGATTTTTTTTCTGAAATGCTCTTCCCCCCCCCTCATTTTTTAAAATCATTATTTTTCAGTTACAATTGACATACAATATTATATTCACTTCAGGTGTACACTCCAGTGATTAGACATCATATAACTTACGAAGTGATCATCTGGATAAATCTCCTACCCATCTGACACCGTACATAGTTATTAGCATATTATTGACTATATTCCCTGTGCTGTACTTCACACCCCCATGACTGTTCTGCAACAACCAATTTGTACTTCTTAATCCCTTCACCCCTTTCACCCCCAAACCTCCCTCCCATGTTTCAACCGTCAAAATGTTCTCTGTATCAATGAGTCTGTTTCTGTTCTGCTTGTTCCTTTATTTCATTTTTTTGAGTCAATTAATAGATATGTATTTATTGCCATTTTATTGTTCATATTATCTTCATCCTCTTGAAGAAGACCCTTTAACATTTCATAGAGTGCTGGTCTGGTGGTGATGAACTCCTTTAGCTTTTCCTTGTCTGAGAAGCTCTTAATCTGACCTTTGATTTTAAATAACTTTGCTGGGTAGAGCAATCTTGGTTGTAGGTGCTTGTTTTCTGTCACTTTAAATACTTCTTGCCACTCCCTTCTGGCCTGCAAAGTTTCTGTTAAAGAATCAGCTGACAGTCCTATGGGAATTCCCTTGTAGGTAACTAACTGCTCTTCTCTTGCTGCTTTTAAGATTCTTTGGCATTTTAATTATGATGTGTCTGGGTGTGGGCCTCTTTGGGTTCCTTGTTTGGGACGCTCTGTGCTTCCTGGACTTGTATGTCTATTTCCTTCTCCAGGTTGGGGAAGTTTTCTGTCATCATTTTTTCAAATAGGTTTTCAATTTCTTGTTCTCTCTTCTTCCGGCACCCCTATAATGCAAATGCCGGTGCACTTGCAGTTTCCCAGAGGCTCCTTACACTATCCTCATTTTGGGGGGATTATTTTTTCTTTTGCTGTCCTGATTGGGTGTTTTCTGCTCCCTTCCAAATTTCTGATTTGGGCCTCAGCTTCATTTCCTCTACTGTCGATTCCCTGTGAATTAGTCTTCAGTTAGTGTATCCTTCATTGCTGACCGGATCCTTTTTATGGTTTCCAGGTCCTTTTTTATACTGTTGAAGTTCAAAGTTCCTTGAGCAACCTTATAACCAGTGTTTTGAACTCTGCACCTAGTGGATTGCTTATGTCTCTATTTTGTTTAGTTCCTTCTCCTGGAGCCTGGTTCTGCTCTTTTGTTTAGGACATGTTTCTTTGTCTCCCCGTTTTGGCCGCCTCCCTGTGTTGGTGCTATGTATCAGATAGAGCTGCTACGTTTCCAGGGCTTGGTAGAGTGGCCTTATGCAGTAGGGGTTCTTTAGGTGAGGCAGGAGAGTAAGAAGCTAGGAAAAGTCCTTGGCAAGTGGAATAGGGAAACTGAGGCAGATAGTTAAACAGCAGTTTGCAGCCATCTAGTAAATCTAGATGCCAAGCAGTTTGCAGTCAACTAGGAAATCCTATCTTCCCTAAACCAAGGACACTTAAGAGTAAATGGTTTGCACTTTTCTTCTGCATCCAGAGAATAAATAGCTTAAGTCACCCTACTCAGAGAGAGAGAACAGAAATCTAATTAGTGCTGTTTGCCAACCATACCCAAGGACCAACCGGACCTGGGTTCAGCAGCCTCAGTACTTGGGTTCTGGCTAGAAAAGAATTCAGAGCCAAGACCCAGACTATAAGAGAAAGTTTATTTAGAAAATCACAGAGGTTGAAGTAGTAATTTGTAGAAGAAATGGGCTGAGGGAACATGTTATAGAGGCAAAGGAAGGGTCCTTGAAGCTTGGGAGTGAGGAAAGCAAAGGTGAGGCGCCTACCGGGAGGGGAAAGGGAAAGGCACAGGGATGCTCCCAGGAGGCAGAGCACACTGGATCCTCTGTCCTAAGGGTTTTAAGGGTGGAGATTTTAGGAGAGGTCCCAAGGGAAAATATCAATAGAATATTCAGCAGCTTTCCAGGTGTGTCCTGTCAGGGTTGGGGTTGGAGTCTCCACTGATTGATCGGTGCCAGGGCAGGGCGTTATTATTTAATGCAACTGATCCTGAGGTCAGCGATGGGGTGACTTGTCTGGCTTTGCTGCACTTCTGGGCCTGGAGGGGAAACACAACTGAGGTCTAGATGTTATCTCTGTGGAGGAAAGGGTGGGGTCCAAACTGCATGACCAGAGATATGCTAGGGGAGGAAAGGTCACCCTGGGGACAAGGTCCCATGCTACAATTGTCCTTTGCTAGGCACCCAGGGCTTTTCGGCCTGGTAACCTTCTGTACCTGGCCCATTGTCCGTGCTCTGCTCATGTCTGTCTAACTGCCTAACACACTACCAGTCTCCATGTGGCTTCTGTATATCCTCAGTTGTAGAACTTCTGTTCAGCTAGATTACAGGCAGTTCTGAATGATGGTGGTTCTGTGGTTTAGTTGTAATTTTGATGTGGTTGTGGGAGGATCTGAGTACGGCTTTTACCTACCCAGCCCTCTTCCCAAATGTTCTCTTTCTGCCAGGGAAAACAGGAAAACAGAGTGTGACAAAAAAAGCTTACCCCTCTTCACCCTTGGTGCAAATCCACCCAGTGCTTATATAAATGAAATGAGTAGACACTTCTACAAGAGGCAAGATGATTCTCACATCTGCAGGTTTAGGAACAGTGCTTCCCTCTTTATGTTCTAGGATCTGTAAGCTTCCTGGGAGTAGTTCCAAGGTTGGGAGGAACTAGAGTCAGGGACCCAGAGAGCAGCACCCACCCCATGCTACAAGAGCAGGGGAATGAGGGCTCCTTTCTTACCTTCTCGTCCTTGATGGTCTACAGTGTCAGCAGATAAAACTGGACCTCCCATCACTGGTCACAGGATGAAAACTACATCCAGCCCTCCTTTTGGGGGCAAGTCCGCTGTATATGAAGAGGGCCTGTTTGGGCATCTGCGTGACACAGTTCAGGCTCAGCCTTTCTAAGCCACTTGTGATTCATGAAGTCTTCAGGACTAGGGATGTAAGTGCATCTAGAAGGCTTGATGAAAGGGCTGGCACTGGTCCTTGGTCAAAGGAGTGTCCAATCAAGGCACTGGAGTGTCCAATCAATCCTTCCTCATGCCTGGAGACCATGACCTGGGGGTTACTTCTCAGCCCCAGGCGATGGGCAGCCCTTTCCTCAGCCCTGCTCTTGAATGGGCTGGCCGCTCCTGCCGGCCAATCCAAACAGCCGCATGGCTGCCCACCCAGAAGCTGCATCCTGCTCCTGTACGCAAGGGCAAGAGCGGCGCTTTGGACTTAGCCTTGGTTGGACTCCCAGTTCTGCCCCTCACTGTGTGTCCTTGGGGAAGTCGCTCACATTCTCTGAGCCTGCTTCCTCGGCTGTAGAAATGACAGCGATAAGATTAAATTAACTCAGGTGATGCACTTAACACAGGACCTGGCCCCCAGTAAGTGCTCAAGGTGTCTGCTGTGAGGTCGCTTCCCAACTCAAAAACTTTCAGGGGCTCCCCCGTGTCTAGGGAAAGGTCTGACTTTCCAAGTTGGCCCCGAGCTCCCACCAGCCCAGGGCAGAAGAGAAACTTGACTTTCTCACATTTTCCACAATGCATGGCACCGGCCTTGGGTTCCCAACCTTCTCAGATGATAAGGACCGTCTTCCACTTGCAGAGAGGTCACTGAGAGGAGGTTCTCGTGGTCCGGTTCCAGTGTCCTGAGAGGTCTGGGGCGGGCCCTGAGGAGCTCACTTCCACTGTTTCCCAGCCGGCCACATGCTGGTGTTTACCGTGTCTGGGCGGCGCCCTGCTCCGCAGAGGGCTCCCTGAACGCCCGCGGGTGGGCAGGGCGCTTCCCTCCCAAAGGCAGGTGGCAGCTGGGGGGCAACGCGAGGAGCTGGGTCTGGGAGTAATCTGGTCTGGGGT